TGACTACTTTACAAATACTTCCCCATCTTTATAATACACATATGATGGAACAATATAAAGGGGCAGCATTTCTTGAGTTAAGCCCCCAATGTGCTTGCCCTATAAAGATTTGAATTGCATCTCTTAAGTGCTCTTTGTTTGACAGATGAAGATTACTAATAGTTCCTTTAATAGTTACTCTTCTCTTCACAAATATTCTTTGTTCTTAAATAGTGAAGGGATTTGAAGCCTCAAAACATTTAACGGGAAGACGATGATTTTGAAGATAGCAGTTTCTCGGTCTCAACCGAGCTTTTACTCTTTCGATTAAGAAGTACACTTATGATGCATCTTTTTTTAATAAATATTAGTAATCTTTATATTATAAATGTATTTACTTTGAAATATAAACTTAAATTTCAAAATAATGAGGAAATGTTTTATTCATGTAACACCTAAATGTTTGAAATCTAAACTTGAAAAATCAAGTGATGCAAACATGTTTTAAGCATAATACTTAGAACAAAAGCATGCTCCTTGTTACTAATAAATCCTACATTACTTAAAGTTCATATTTAAATTACATAAACATCTTCAAAACATAGATAATGCCAAGAATAATAATAGAAATACTATGATTATGAAATTAACTAAGACCAAGATCATCACAAGGAATTTGTGATGATCTTAATAAGGGTAATAAATAGTTTATATGTTTTATTGGCACAAATTATCTTAATTTATTAACATCGAATTTTGTTATATCAAATTTAACTAACATGTTCTACTCATCAAAATTTAAGGATTAACAGTCAATGAACCATTCAAAGAACTTAGATTTGAAGAGGGATTAGTTGGAACTAAATCAAATTATAATCTGTTCACATGTAGTTCAAATTAAATTTGAACCTTATTTGAATCAAATTCAAACTTGGCTCATTTGAATTCAATCAAACTTTTAGTTGCAATGTCAAAAACTCGATTCTTCAACAAAAATGTTTTGATAGTTGCACCTTGAACCAAACCATGCAATTTAACGAAAATTGTATGGTTCATCTCTTAAGCACTCCTCTTCTTACCAAATTTCCATCGCAAACATAACCTCATCATTGTTTTTGAGAAATATATATAGATAGATAGATAGATAAAGACTATATGGTTTGAACCGTCCGTCTATCCGTGCATGCGTTAAAGTCTACTTATATTTATGTATGTGTTTCTAAACCTACAATTTATTTGAAAATACTAATTAGAATTGAAATATTCTAGTTAAGTTAAATCCTTAGGTTGAGATTAGACCTCAAGGTCTTTTTTGGATGATAAGAGCAAACCCTTTAACCACATGTATCACTTATACATTAGGTGCTATGATTGAGACACAATTGGGCACTTATTCGCCTTAAGATGAAATTTAATTATTCCTTTTCTCAATACAATCATCATGGATATTATTTGTGTTGATTTTATATTTACGATATATTTTTTAAATAATTATACGCTCCACCATGTTTAGGCACTTTGCTAGCTTAGCTCCTTCTAAGCATGGCTTGACAAGCATTCATGATATATTTATACATATGAATAATTACCTTTATTTTGTATGGTAGGAAGAGTCTCCATAAAATTAAAATATAAGTATGAGTTCAAATGGGGGCAACAAGATAGAGACCATATAGAAGCAAGATTAAGAGTTGTTAGCAAATATCTCTTATCTTAAATTTATATAACTATTTTTTTTAAATATATATATATATATATATAAATTAAAATGCCCCTCTGAAGTGGGTGAAGAGATTTATATATATATATGAAATTAATAACTTCTACACAACCATAAAATCAACTATATAAAAACCTTCTATTTAATAAAAAAAATATTTCTTTAATTCCTGGCATTTCAACAACTTCTTTTTAAAATAAATGAATCAAAATCTTTTTGAGATTGTGAATTCAAGTGTCAAGTATCATGACTCTCATTTTTTTTCATAATGAAGAATTTTTATCTAGCGTTGATCCAGTGCTGGTTAACACGACCAATGCGCCCGGATGTGAAAAGTGGAGGGTTGTGTCAGGGAGTTAACAATCAGCGTAAACTTGTCGAAAAATTCATGACATGAATCCTTTTGACCATTGTGTAAACACTAAATAGGACACAATGAAGGCAAATGATTCATGTAGTTGACCCCACGTAGTGGGATTAATGTTTTGTTGTTGTTGTTGTTGTTGTTGATCCAGTGCTGGTTCCTAAACATAATATTTCTTAGAGTTTAAACTTATTAGCAAACATCACATTAAAACAAACAATATTATGGTGTTCTCCAAATAACATATTAGCATTCTCTAAAGATCAAATCATGCACACATATATTATGCTTGAATTTTTTTTGATAGGCATGTCTCAATGAACATTTGCTCATATACCTATATATGAGAATAATGAAACCTATTTTTTTTATAAATGAGTGCGCACTTTTTAGCTTTTACCACACACACACACACACACACACAAAAGGGAGGGAGAGAAAGAGGGAGAGAGACTATAACGTTAAAACATTAGTATGAGTCCAAGTGGACCGCTAACATCAGAATCATGTACAGACAAGATTAACATTTGTTCTTGTGTTGAGTCTTGTATCTTAAGTTCAAATATATTTTTTTATTATTGAATTACAATTGGATTGTATCATACAAGCCTAATCATCTTTCTATTCTTTACTTTTTACAGGGTGTATTAAAGGAGCAATTATTGTGTGCGGAGAGCGCACGCAGAGCTGCGTGCGCTCTCCGATCACAGCCGCACATCGTTGTTGTATGACAGTGGGTCCCACTGTCATATAGCCGCGATGTGCGGCTATGATCGGAGGGCGCGAGCAGATCTGCGCGCGCCCTTCGCACGCAATAATA